GGAGAAGTTCGCTTTTGGTTTTAGGCCAAAAGCAAAAGCTCAACCTCTCACTCCAAAGCCTCACAACTCCTCATGGAAAATAAATAAATAAATAGTAAAGAGGGACAATGTGTGCTGCCGTTAAAGAATGCACAGCCCGGACTCTCAAGAAAGGGCAAAGTCACATTTATGCAGCAGAAAGCTAAGAAGTCAGCCCACAAACAGAACTCGATGTGTAATTAAAGAGAGGCAGAACTCTAGGAAAGTGTTTAATAAACAACAGGGAAAAAGACAACTTGCCAAAGTGTTTAACCTGTATTTCTTGAAGATCAAGGAACAGTCTCAGAAACTTGGGATGCATATGTTCTACCTGAAGCATTTTTGCAATATTGTTAATAAAAGCAGCTGGCAGTTTCTTAGTGCTGTCCCAAGTCTGCCAGAACTTTGAAAGCATATTGAGCAATTCCAGGTAAACCTGAGAAGCAGACCGACTGTTAGAGGCTATTTACAAGCATCTGCATTGCCCCGCTATCAACCACTCATTTTTTTTCCCCCCAAATTGGCCAAACAAGCTATTTCAAAATAATTCCTCTATTTCAGCAGAACTGCAAATTCACTGTAAATATGTTAAACAATTACTAAAAATAGTATTGGAAACATTCTTTCAAAACACATTACATCTCAGATTATTTACTACACAACACACGAAAGGCATACCACAGGGAAGCAACTTCAGGTCTGGAGCCTACATAATTATTGCCAAAGAGCAGCTTGCCCCACTTGTGAAAAAAGTTCGAGTGAAAATTATTAATGTCTTTGTTAATGAACCCATTCATCAGTAAAAAGAACCCAGTCTACCACGTAAGTGCAGTTCCCCTGCTGTGAACTGCCTCACCGCTGCCTGTGGATGAACATTAATCCTGATGGAGAAAGAGGGAAGGGATCACCACAGCAGAGAAGTGCCATACCTTTAACAAAAGAAGTGACTTGACAGTCTCATCGCAACAGGTTATCTGCAGGACAGGCTGGCGATAGAAGATTCTGACACTAGTTCAGGCCACAAAACCCAGCAACCTAGCAGGCCACTGCCTAACATTACCTGGGGGCAGCGTGGATTACACAGTGAACTCACACAGGGTCCCTCAACACGACAAAGAAAAGGGGTTTCCAGAATATGTCTCTTGATTGCAGCTTTCCGTAATGCCCAAGAGTAGGGTTGGTATACTCAGGTCGATAACCCAAAGGCCGTGCTAAGAAGAGGTGGGCGCTGGAGAACGGGACAGCAACACGGCGGCAGAACTGCAAACTGCACAAAACCAGGCACAACAAATGATACCGCAGGTCAGGAAAGCAGCGCCCTGGCAAGAACGCACGAGAAAAACCAGCAGCACCTGCCAGCGTACCCAGCTCAGCTCCCTGCTGCCGAAAGGTTAAACTCTCACAGGCTTTGAGCCCGCTCTAAGAGTAATTGCACTACAGCCCGCGCTAATTTTCATATACCCTTGTACACATGACACCAACTTAACAGATTTCCCTTTTACATATCCCCATCCATCTGCAAAGCTTATCAACTAATACTTAAAAGTAAATTGAAAACTTATGTTTTCAGAACCAAACTAGCCACTGAAGTTGTGAAACTAAAGTTGTTTTCATCACTGAAGATTTTCTTCAACTGTAATTAAAAGATTTTTTTTTTTTTTTTTAAAGAAGCCATGGGTTATAAGACTGTATTTGAGATACTGTTACTTCAAAAAGAAATTAAATACTCCCGAAAAAGAGCGAGCTGCTTCAGCACAAACCGGGAATGCTGTGGTTATACATAGTATCCTCACGAGGAACTTCCAGGTTCAGCTCTGCTACGCTTTCTGCTCTCCCGAGGAACACCACAGAAGGAAAAACAGCCTTATGCTGCGGTGTCGGGAGTTTAATTCGTATTATCAGCACAGGAATAAAGTGGGAAAGCATCTTCTGCTGTGAACTGCTTCTCCAAAGCAGACTCCTAAACTCCTCGAGAGAGACCGACCTTCTTTCGCATTGGATCAGCTTACAAAACACACGGTACTATTTGCTATTCCCTTACTCCCTCTGCAGATGCAGATTTGCCAATATAATTCAACACAGAGCTGCAGAAGGAGGGAAAGATGAACGGGAAAAGGTGACAAAGTTGCCTTATCGCTGTTTGTTAGTCCAACAGTTCCGCGCAAGTTTTTTCCCCCAACTGTTGATATCAAAACCTTTGCTTGGATTTCAGGTTTCAAACCTGAGGTTTCTGGATTTGGTGTTATACCACCAAGAAAAAAACAGTAACGACAACTTAGCTAAGTAACCTCACGATATCTGAGACAGAAGAAACTTTGCTCTCCTGCATCCGTCACGGTGAAGAGCTGCAAACCTCACAAGGGGCTCACGTTTTGCCTAGTGCCCTACACAACAGCAACGCTGACAGAGATGGTTTTATTTAAAAGATGCAAGCAGTAGTAACGAGTCAAACCCCACAATTCAGACAGGAGCAATTTCACAACATTCCTTTGCAGTCACTGGGCTTGCTGCTCTACCAACACTCCTGCTTTCTGTTCTTCCTCGTTCTATTGAGCATTTCCAATGTTTTTCTCGAGCTGTGGCTTCCCCGATGCTTTTTACCTGCTTTATTTTTCTAGGGCAGCGACAGAGAGCCTTTATCATGCCAAAACACACACCGAAAGCTGGAGCATTTAGGGAGACACCCCTAGTTTGCAAGCGGATGCTAAGTTTTTACCAAGCACCCAGGTAACTTTCACCTGGAGGCCGTGGCAGCTTTATGGCTTCCACGCAGCCTTTCGACCGCTGTTTTCCCTGCTCTGGCGCCTGCTTCAGGGCCCAGGGCACCATAACCCACCCCTGAATTCAGCTCAGCCTCCCGTTCCGCCGAGAAAGCGCCCTTGAAGAGCTTCTGGGTCCGCCGGATCACATGCCCCCCCCCTCCCCTCCTCCTCCTCCCAATTAGTCACTCTTTAACAGCTCCGCAGCCCTTTGACCGACGGGCTCCGCGAACTGGCAAAATCACAACCCCGAGCTGGGGATGGGAGGCGAGCCCGGGTGTGTCCCCCCCC